CTTCAGATTTGTGTGCATACTCAAAGTGGAATTAGAAGTGTACGGCTTTTGAACAATTTAAAGGAGTTGGGAAGCCTTTAGAAGTGGCTAGTATGAATCATAGAATTGCTTGGGTTGGAAAAGGCCTTAAAGATCATTGAGACCAACCATGACCTAACCATACTACCCTAACGATAATGAGCTCTAACAATCATGTCCCTGATTTAGCAATGGATTTTAAACAAATCTGTGACTCAACCTCCTCCCTGGGAAGCCTATTCCAGTGCTTAATAAGCCTTTCTGCAGAGAAGTTTTTCCTGTTATCCAACTTAAACTTACCCTTGTGCAAATTAAGGCCATTTCCCCTCTTCCTGTCACCTGTCACAAAATAGTCAATGTTGGATAAGCTGAAAGACCTTGCAGGCTTCCTGCTGCCTACTTTCCTTTTTGTTTCTGGCTTCTTACACTCTTCCACTTCCAAGTTTTTAGGTTTTCCTGCTCCTCCAACCTCCCCTTCGGGTCCCAGGGAAGATCTGATCCATTTCTTTCTCATCCTCTTTAACGCTGCACAGTGTGGTAGCCTCTTCCCCAAAGCTCTTCCAAATGGAAGCACAAACCCTCAATGATTGCACACATCCTGCAGCCTCTGAGAATGTGTGCCCCAGTGAGAGGACCCAAGGACTCCTTACAGTCTGAGGCTTGTAGTGTTGCATCCTCCTTCTGAAGCTCTGTTGAGGTCTGAGAGTTTGATAAAAGTAAAAAAAAGAAAAAAGTAGTAAAGGGACAGTTAGTCCTGCAGCTATGCAGAGATTCCTCAGATGATCACTGACCAAGTGACAAGTAACTGAAGGAGAGACTTAACTGAATACTTTCAACTTCAGTCAGAAATATTTACTTACTAAATGCACTGACTATTTCGGTCAGCATCAATATTAATGATAAAATTTAGGAAAAGTTCTTACTCAAATATTTTATTTTGATGTATGCACATATATAGTCTGCTACATTTTGACAGCAAATATGTATGCAATCTGAGAGCTCTCCAAGCAGGAATGGTGATTAAATATTGAAATATTTATGGTAAAAAATATGAAACAGAACTGCACCAAAAGTGAACACTGGGATAAAGCTGATATTGTATTTTGTTTTGCAAAGTGTATGGAAATGATTATGTTTAAATTTATTTTTATTAGTTTTGCTAATTAAATTTTTATTTAGAAAGAAGTTGCATTAACTTTCATAGTAATAAAATGTTCTTTCTTAGAGACATGTGGCCTAGGATTCAGTTCTGTGACTTTTCTCTACTGTAATAGACCTTTTTGACAGGAAAAATGTCAGGTATTCTTAGGAAATACCGGGAATGAGGTTTGCATCTTGAACTACATATTTTTGAAATTAGTAACCCGGATGATCAAAACATATGGATGTTTCATTTCCTTATCAACTTCCTTATTTTTATTTCCACATGAAAAATGTAAATATTTTTCTTATGCTCAAAATAAGATAAAGGACAGTAAAAAATAGCTCATTACATTTTGATTGTTTTGTTACTGATTCCAAAAGTTTAGAGAGCTCAAAGTAGTTATTCTGAAGTTTTTCAGATGATTGGTGACTAGATTTTTGGAGAGACATAATAGATAATTCACTCTGAAACTCAGTGAAAAAAAATAAAAAAAAATAATTAAAAAAAAGTGTTCTTTTGAATGTACAGTAGATTGTCCTGAAATCAGCAGGATGATTTTAAACATCATCATGTGAATTCTTTGCTATCCACCAGATACATAATGATCAACACAGATGATATACTTGAGAGATGAATGTAGCAAATGGCATCCAGATAATCCTATCTTTTTTGTCCTTAATGCTAATGCATCTTACTGCAGACTGCAAAAGCTGCATTAAGGATTATGTAAAGTGAATACAGTTTCTAGTTTTTCTATTATTGTGTTTACTTAACATAATATGAAGTCAATATAAATTGTATTTAAAAGAAAATGATAAAAACAATGACAAATCAACATGGATGGAAAGATCTATGAGGTGAAGAGCAATTCCCCCAGCTCACTCTAAGCATTTTTGTTTCTCAAACGTATTTATACTTCTTTGAATGTTATTCCATGATTGTTATAAAGTTTCAGTCTATATATTTTTATGCCTGTATGAAGAACATCATATATTTCTGCGAAGATCACTCTTTCCGTAAGTCAGCTATACAACCCAAAGTATTTTCTCTGTGAGTAAATGGGAAGGATGAAAATAAGTGTAAATAAATCAGCAACTTTTCTTTAATGTCAACATAGTGTCAAAATAGTGTAATAATATCAGATTTCTGCAGACTTAAACAGTTGAGTAGTACTGGAAGAAATATTTGATTACTAAACATGCTGGGGCTCAGATAAATGTGCTGTTATGAATATAAACATTCATTAAAAGTTCAGTTTGTTGCAGGTCTTTCTGCCTCAAGATATTGTCAGGCACGATAACGTTTTCTCATTTATCAGTATAGTTTCTGATGGACTAACTAGAGTTCTTGGCAGACTTGCTTACAACAAGAAATAAAGCAGAATAATTTTTTTTTCCTATACTACATATCGAGGGACTTGTCAAATAAAAAGGGAAATAACATTTGTCTTACCTTTCCTGTGGTAGGGGGCTATTCATTCTAGTAGTATTTGATTACTTTTTTAAGATGACAAGCAACAAAGTTATATAAACAGACTCACATACTGTAAATATTCATTAAAAAACTGCCTCATGTTACACTGTGAGTAATGATTTTTCTTGCCACTGCACCTATGCACAGTAGCACTGAGCTTGTAAGCAGGTGTGAATCCTTTCAGAGTCAAGAGCCTTTGCAGTTGCCACCAAGCTATTATGGTCTTCCAGGAGTAGCAATCTCAAAAGAAATAAAAGGCACCAAAATAGTTGTATTGCAGGACAAAGTAAAGTATTTCCTATCCACTTGGACAGGAGCATCTTCCTCATGTGAAATCTGTCTTCTTACATGTTTCTGAAGGAAAGGTATGCAGTGGAATGGCACTGTAGTCATCTAAGGAAAATTAATAGAAAAATATTAATAGAAAAAATCTATTAGTAGAAAAATAAGAGATAGAATTTGTTGATATTAGAATCCACATTCTGAAACAGCTTTTGTCAACTGGAAAAATGTTTTTAATAACCTCTATATGTATTACTTAACAAGAATTTTCTAAAAGCATTTTTGAACAAAAATATTTATTATAAATGGAAGAGTCAGTACATAAGGCATTTTTAATAGATTAGAGTTCAGATCTTTTTTAATTATTAGCTTTTCAGACAAGTTCCTATCTTCAAATAAGAACATTAAAGCTCTACTGTGGGAGGGATTTGCTAGGAAACAGCTGTGTTCAGAAACTCCACAGCTATGCTATAGAACAAAAGTTTTGGAGGTATGAAGTCCTCTATTAAAGTGACTGTACGTATCCTATACTGTAAACACATTCCAAAATATATACTGATCAAGAAATAGTTGTATAAAATCAAAGAAGAAACAATGTAGATAGCTCTACTTGCATTGTCTGTATGTAATTTAGAAACAAAATAGTTTTGAGCTCCCATATAAGCTGAATGCCAGTATTGATGTACATAGCAAAAGATGTTTGAATCGTACTGCATCACTGCTGCCATACTCAGAGGAATCTTTTTTCTTAAGTCAAATAAATAGGACATCAAATATAATGTGTCATCAAAAATAATATAATGTTTTAATTCTTGTTGAATCTTTTTGAATTGGAGTAGTTTTAGCAACTGGAATTTTTGATAGATTTCCTTCAAAATTTATAAAAATACCTGTTGATTTTTTTAAAATTTTGTTTCTAATTCAGATTTTTTTTCCCTTTGCTTCATAATTTTTTCCATGTGGGAAAAAGATGACTGTGCTGATAGCAGTCTACCTGCAAAAAATAAGAATTTCCCTCCAGAAAATTAAATTGAAAATAATTCCCAGACAGAATAATTCTGTTCTGTTTAGGAAGAAATATGTTGGTACCACAGATTAGAAGTGGTATTACTCCAATAAAGAATGCAGTTCAGCGTATAGAACACAAAATTAAGTCAAGTGGTGTGGTGTTCCAAGAGCCTCAGGGAGAAATAAGGAAGAGCTGCTTGCTATTGCTGGAAAATGTGAAGCTGGAAAAGGTTGTGAATAATAAAATAGAAAGTAAAACTTCATACGTTAACAGATAATGAATGTTCAGTGACAGAAGTATTTCACAGGTGATTTTAGGAAGGCAGATTTTAATGCTACCATATTCTTATCAACTTGCCCACATAAATTTAGATTTTGATTAGTTATCTCACTTTAATTCTTTTTTTTTTTTTTAATTTAGAGTTCAGAATTCAATTGTAAATTAAAATATATTAAAATAGGAAGTTGCAACTAAAAGGCAATCTTTTTTTATTTTTTTTTCCTACTAATTTTCAGAATATGAAATTCTGCCAAGATATGGAAAATTTCCGGGGATCTTATTAGAGAACTGCTAGGGTTCAGCAAGGGCAGGCTGCTCTGTGAGGGAGTGCACAAGGGGCACAGTGCCTCAGAATCTAAGAAGAGCAGAGTCATCTCTGCGGCTGCTGCCAGGCCAGCCACCAGCGTGGTTATCACCAGAGAAGTCCACAGGGATTAGGTAAGCTCATAGCCAAGGCAGAAAGAGGCACAAGGAGAGAAGGATTGGGATTACCAAGGTCTGACAGCAGATACTGTCCAGATATTTGAGTGATACTACAGGCAATTTCTTTTTATTAAACAGTAATTCATGTTTCTTTGGGTCACGGGTCTATAGGTCATATTCATCTTGCCTATCGATTATAAGTAGGCAGGCAGATAGTATTAGAAGTTGATGTTTCAGTCTGGATGAGCAAGGCTTAGACTTTAAATAGATAAATGAAAATGTTCTGTTGTTAACCAGTTCTGTTGGGAAAAAGATTTTGCATGTAATGTGAAGTATCTTGTGAGGAAATGTTTGGTTTCTTTTTTTGCACAGATGCCTGGAGAATATTTGTCAGAAAATGCTGTTATTAAAAAGCACCACAGAGGATTTCTTGTTGAACCAACATTTTCTGTTTCTGATCTCACTGTGAGTCCATACCAGATAAAATCAAAACCATAACTCCTAGCCATAATGCTTGTCTTCTGTCCATTTTTGTTTTAAATACTTTCTTTTGACAGCCTGAAGCATCTAAAATACCTTCCTCGCTTTTCCAAGTTTTACAGAAAATAACAAAACCATGTGCTAAAAACAAAAAGAAAACAAGCAAACAAACAAAAAAAAAAACCCAAATACTGTATTTTTTTAAACTTCCTGGGAAGATTTGTGTGTGGAGTTTTCCACTTTCCACTTGAAATCACATCCGAACTTTTACATTTCTTCTTCCTCATCCTGTATTTGTTATCATTATACCCGTTATAAAATGGGTAGGCATTGCCCTCCATCCTACTCTATCCTCCTTAAAGGAAAGAGAAAAATCTTCAGTGAAACTCTTTAAACCTCAAGAACTCTTATATTGCTTTAAACAAAAGTATAGCTTTAAGAACTTTTTCTTTAATTTAACCATATTAGGAGGAGTTCCTGTTTCTGTCTGTTTTTGGTTTTTTGTTTGTTTTGTTTTGTTTTGTTTGTTTTGTCAGGATCTCTGTTCTTTATATTTGAAATACTTATTTTCCAAAGTTCTCCTTATTGAAATATAGATGTCTGTGCGTGTGTGTGCACATATTCATACATATGTTATGTACAGATGCATATTCACTGAAATTTTATTCTGTAGTTTCAAAACAGTTGATGTTTCTTGAGCGTTTGCCTTTCATTGCATTTTTCAGTATTTTCATTTTTCAATAGCATTTGGCTTACCTTCTTTACTGAGAAAAGTTCCTCTAGATGCTCTCCCATCTTCCTGTATTGGTCTCACTGTAGCTGTCTTTGGCTGTGCAGTGGAAAGGAAAGTGAGTCTGCACAAGCTACTTGTGCAGTGGATTAGGTGATTTTCAGTCTTTTGAAACAATGCAGAAATGAGTAGATCGTACAGTTCCAAAATGTGTGGGGTGGTAGTAATATTAAATTCAGTGAGGGGGATTAGGTCTCTTGGAGCACCTTCAGGAGTACAGTTCTGAGTCTGTGTACAGAGTTCATCAGCATATTGTTACTTGTTTTCTTCTGTTTTAGTGAAAAACTTATTTTCTGTAAAGACTTGTAATTGGAAAATGAAGTTGGTGAGTTTTTTCAGTTAAAGAACAAACATCCCAAATCTTGTTTCTAGAGGGAATCAGATTCCTGAAGTTTTTTTGGTTTGGTTTTATTTTGTTTTACTTTATTTTAATGAGGATTTGTTCTCAAAAATCTGAGTTAATGTCTAACGCTGCTGTTAGTTATTGCATTTAATCTTTTCCAGAAGCTACAGCAGGAAGTTATAAAAAGATCCTTTTTACAGTATCTAAAAGTGGGCTGAGCAGACTTGAATGCATTCTGAAACGTCATAACAATTTTGCAAGACTTTTAGCAAAATATGCTATGAGAGGGATCATGAAATACAAATTTTTCTTGTTCTTCCTAACATTACAGACCTGATCCTTTTGCTTAGCTTTAGTCTCCTTCATGTAGTTGAACTTGCATAGGAAATATTTCTCACACATTCAATACCAATACTGTTGCAGTTATTAAAATTGTTTTGAAAATATGACTTGAGTAAAAAAAGGAGAGATAAAACTGGACTCATGCATCTCACTGGAAAATTATCGAGTAGCAAATATTTTTATTTTGCATTTCATTTCTGCAAATATGGACTTATGTCTTTAATTGTACTTGTTATTCTGCAGGCCACAAGTATCCTAAGTTAGAGTTATCATGACCTGAGTTTCCTGCAGCCTACATATATTACATTCACATAAATTTCTTCTGCCGTTGTTTTAACTGTAAATATGTACATACAGGTTTTCAAAAAACCAAAAAAAGAGTTTGAGTAAATGATTTCACTCTCTTATTCGTTTCTATTTGGGAAAAATTATACTTGTGATTATTTTCAAATATTGTCAAAACATTTGGTTTTAGTGAAACAATAAAGACCAATCTAGACTGTCTCTGAAATTTATTTTCCTAGTTTTTCCTCTGTTAACACAAGCTGTTAGGCACTTTACTCAAGGGTTGAACCACCTCTTTGCTTTTTTGTTGTGAATGACAGGAATGTTTGGGGTGGTTTCAGGGAGTGGGTGGCAGGTTGCACCCTACATGAAGGAGAGCCAGGAGCAAAAGGTTGAGGTAGGCCTGGTACAGGCCAGGACCCAGTCCCACACTACCTGACCAAGGAAAGCTGAATGAGCCTGGTGTTGGTAACCAGGGCTGGGTCCCAGCAACTAGGGCTGGTGCAGGTCATGGGTCAAGGATGGGGTGCAGCTCTGGATCAATGGGCCATGAAGACAGGCATTGCTCAGGCAGGGACTGAAAGGGAAAGAGTTAATTTAAAAACAGCATTGAAGTGTCAGTAAACTTCTTCTGCTGAGTCTTCCTGCTCTTTATAGTTCACATCAGCTAATTGGCCTTAGATGCCGCAAGCTGAACTCCTGGAGCTACAAGTCGAGTGTGCTGTAACGCAGGACTTGGGTCCTGAGTGGAATTAGGAATGCATGGTGAATGTGTCAGAGATAAATTCTCATGAGAAAATTATCTTTTGAATTGAGACAGAGAAAAATCACATGTGATGACTTTGTGAAGATGGTGGTCCAAGCTGAAATCTGAAAATTGATATCTGACACCTGACATTTTTGCACTTTATTTACCAAAGATAAATGAGAGAGCAAGTATCTTTTTGGAGAGCTTTATATGAAAAATGCTGTTTGGAATAAGCATATAGTTTGGGAAAATTCTAGTGAACAACAATCAAATGTTAACTACTGACACTCAGAAAATAAGCTAATATAATATTTAAGAAAATGTGAGCTCCAATACTTTGCTCAGCAATTATTTATATTAAAATAAACAATACCAATCTTGTCTATGAAAGATATATAAACAAAATCATTTTGTGACTTTGTTCTAGAGATCTTTGTATATCTAATATATTAAATGTCAAAAATTATTATTATAGACATGAGATTCTAGACATCCTGGCTGCAATGAATTCAGTTTTTACACACAGAGATAAGTAAATTTATCTTTGACATCACCTCTCGGCTTAGTAGTCATCTTGTGCTTAATTACTTGACTGAAATTCAACCTTGGATGGCTTTGTGATTTCTCTCTACATGAAGCCAGCCAAAAATGAATTGGTATTGATTAGCATCATCATTGTGAAAAGGTGAACTTTAAGGCTTAGAATTTGTATCTTTTGGCAGATGCTTTGAAGAAACTTAGGTCTTTCTTGTGTTCCAAATCTTTCATGGGTACTTTAAAGACTTTATACTTGAGATATTTAATTTTTTTTAAAACAAAAATATAGTATATGTGATTGTAGTCCACTAAACAGTAGCTGAATACTATAAATCAGAACAACGTGAGGGAAAAATAATTTGATGGTAAGTAGATCTATGCGATGTTTTATTTTGCAGTTAATGTATGCATATTTTTTTGGATAGAGTTTACAGATGCGGGCATCTAACGTTCTGTTTAGAGTTGGAGTTAACATCTTAGGCTCCTTCTGTCACTTTTGGAAAGATCATATGGAAAAAAAGTTCAATCCCTGATTCCCTGTTTAATTTTATTGCAGAAGCTTATCACATTCTAGAGAATTTATTTAGGTAGTACTAAAGACTGAGATGGCATAAATGTAGAGCATGTAGGCTTTTCACTCTACTGTATCTTTCTATACCAAGATCGTGGGAAAAAAAAAAAAAAAAGGAAAAAAACAAACAAAACCAACATTAACCAAGTGACTAATTTTGTAGCTGTGTATAAAAAGACAGTTCTGTGGCTGCTGAGTATTATAATGGTTTGAAAAGTCAAAATTAGTTCCCAGTTTATCTCTTAGTATGATGCAGAGTATAAAAGGAATATGTTTCTTTTTTTTTTTTGCTACTGTACCTAATTTTAGACTAAAGGCCCATTTTAGTTTTAAGAGCTCTTTTGACCTCTCTCCAAATACTACCATTAAGACTGACCAGGGTTTCAAGAGTGGTTGAGGGGCTTTTTGTTTTATTTTGTTTTGTTTTTCAAATGAGTAATCCATGATGAGAAGGAACAGTCTGAGGAAGTAACTTTTGCTGGTAGGATAAAATGTCTTAAAAAATAATCCATTCAGTTCATAACACTTTGACAACCGACTCTTTAGTTGACACCCATTCGCTGTATTTATGAACTTAGAAATTGAATTTGGATTTGACTCTAATTAATTGCTAAATAGGTATTCTCTTGTAATTTCAGAGTTCTTTTGCCTTTGATTTCCCGTTATTCCTTTTGTTAATGAGGTGCCCATGCCCAAATATATCTTTGTGTATTACAGATCTCATTTTCAAACAGAGAAGCTCATGGTGAGTTCTAACTTGTATGTGGAAACAATGAATCATAAGAATTACTGTTTTTCTTTTACTCTCATTTTCATTATTGGTAAAGGACAGTTGTGGAGAAAAAAAAACACCTCATTATTTTCTCTTTCTTCCTACTTTGCTCGGTCTTTCTGGGACTCCAGTTTACCATATTTGGAATAGTAGCTGGGGAAGTATCTGGAAAAATATACATCGCTTTACATTTTCCATCAATTATAGTTTTTGTCCTCACTAGAGAGATTTAGAAAATATTTATTTATATTTGAATTTTATATATCATTTTTAATACAATACATATATTTCGAAAGATCACTTGTCTTTTGGCAATTCAAATATTTTCTTAAGAATTCTAGGAAGCATTTCATGGATGGTTGATGTGTTTCTTTCCATGCCCACTTCCATTTTGAATCATGCTACTAAATGAATATTATTTTTCTGGCCAATTTCAGCTTTATATTCTGACATATCCTTTCCTGGATGCCTTTGCTCATTGTTTAAGAAAATTCCAATGGCATGAAAAATCCAATGAAATGATATGAGAAAGATTAAATTTTGTTACTCACTGTCAATGTCTGCTTTTGCTAAGGGAGAACTTTACTTAGACAAAATGCTGGAATATGCTATTCCGTTTGCTCTTTCTATCTGGATGCTCTTCAACCTCTGTTAGAAAGCTATTTTACTTTTGAGAGAAAATGCCATTCAGTTACTTCTGTGAATTTTTTCATGCTTATAAGTTGTTTTCTCTTGATATGATTTTAATGGAGAGAAAGAGGAGCAGCTGAATCACAGTCATTGCCCAAGGTGAAGGAAAAAAAAAAAAAAAAAAAAGCAAGATTGCATAGCATTTCTAATTTTTTCCATTTTTACATAGCCCTTTAAAAAAAATCTAATTAATAAATATTTAATAAATATTCTTAAAAAAAGATTTATATATATATATAAGTATATAAATTAACTATATGTTAAAATTATCCTTTTTTTCATGTTTTGCAGCTCTTGATTTTATTACTGCGAAAGCTTATATCTTAGACTTATTCTAAGATATCACCTTGCTTTGAGATGAGGCTGCTAGCTTCATCCTATAAAAACAGATTTTATCATACTTCTCTTTCTTTTCCTCCTTTGGTCATTCTCCCACTCTGCCCCCAAATCCTTCCCAGCTGGAAAGATGGCAGTTTGAGAATACCTCTGAATGGGGAAAGAGAGAGAGACCTGATGCACAAATGCAAAGTTTGGAAGAAGAGAGAAGAAGGTTGAAGTTGCAAGTGAAAGAAATTCAGGAACTTCTGGAGATGAAAAATAAAGCAGTACCAATTAAATTGACTTGTCATCATCAAAATGATCATCAAAATGCACAAAGTAATCTGCCAGTTAAAAATAAGGTATGTACATTATTATGCTTCATTACTTTGGGAGCATTCCCATGTAGAACTGCTATTTCATACTGACAAATGACAAAATATGTCCCTAAAACAAGGTCTGTACAGGAGAAAAAGTCTGTGTTTGTGCATCTGAATCCTGCACAATTAAAATACAGTGAATTTCTGTAGGGTATAGAAACAGAAAGAGAAATCTCTTCATTCTTAAAAAGAACCAGTGGAATTGACAAGCTAGACAAGAAAACTTAGGAGTGAAAATAATGACTAGAAGGAACTGAAGAGATTGAGTAAACTTTGGTAGATACAGGATCCTGATGAAGATCAAAGCAAAAAAGTTGCGAGGCAAATTGTTTCTCAGTGTTTCTGAATATTGAATCTCTTCTTAGGGAAGAGAAAATAAGTAATTTATCTTGGTAAAGATTTGAAGAGGTGTTCTGTACCTATAGTCTGCTTTTAAATGTAACTGATTTTTGTGCATTTCTGTGATGGCTCAGGAGCAGCAAGCTGCACTTAACCTAATAGAATATCTTCTTATATAATGAACATCTGCTTTTAATTTTCCTTTAGTGACATTTATTGTATCAAGTCATATCATATCACATGAAGATTTTTGTGATTTCTCTGTAATGAAAGTAATTTGATTTTTTGAGTTTGGAGATATGACCAGAAAGGGGTATTTCTGCTTCACATGTTACCATGTTTCAAATATATTTTAGTTCAATATTTTGTTCTGCGATTTTTTTTTTTAAATGTTAGTTTTGTAAGAATATTAGACATCTGTAGTATTTCCTACTGTTACTATCACGACACGTTTGGAAACTACTTTGCATCATTTTTGTCAAAGTCAAAAGGCGAATACGGTGTGCAGGCATCTTCCTTATCATAAAAATGGATGTCTGTGCAATGTTTACCTATTCATAGCAGATCACATTAGAATAAGATTGTCTTCAAAACAAATGATTATCATTTTCAATAAGAAAATTAAAAATGACAATTTACTGGCAACTGCAAATGTGTAAATCATCATCTGGTAGCTTGTTAACAGTTATCATCCAAAGAATAGGATGAGAAATGATTCATTTGTAGCTGTTTGTCTCTGTGTTCCACAAGAATCACAGAACAGCACCATCAATAACCTGAAAGAATGTCTGGCTGCTAACCTCAAAGCCTTTTTTTCTTGGATGGTAGTTTGGATTCAAATAAAATCGTATGTTCTATGGAGGACTAGAAGAGCACATAAGAATTTTTCTAAGACATGGCTGATGGTTAGACGTTTATGGATTATTACAGATTTATTTCTCAAGTAGACAAAAGGGATTTGGGTAATGTGTCGTGGAATTAATTGCAGAGTAAAATGCAGTTACCTTATATTCCTGCTTTTCCAAAACATGCATTTGGAAGATGATATGTGAGATCCAATCCAGTTGTTTACAACAGCACATGGGGTTGTTAATTGATGTGTGGCTGATTCTCAGTTTGAAAGGTTATAAATAACTAGTAACAACTTATTTCCTTTGTTAATAGTTTAAGGAATATTAGGCATAGCATCAAAACACAGAAGGGAAGTTCTAATGTTCTTGTGTAAAAGATCTCATGTTGACAATTATCTTAATATTTACATACCTATAGAATTTATGCAATCTCTTGCCGCTTGTACAAATTCAATTTCTGAGCAAAAAAAATATTATTATTATATTGCACAAAATGTGAAGCCTTCGCATTATTCTTAGCAGACAGTATGTTGATTGAAAATGTTTCCATGTGCAGTTTTTCAAAGGTTAACTCCTGTCCTACAAGATGAGTAGAATTGATGAAACAGTTGAGATCAGACATTGTTACTATCTAGTTTTATCGATTATACATCTTGGAATGGAGAAAAACATCTAAATTAATAGCTGTATGATTTTACAAATAGCATGAGAATAAATATTAAGTGGGTCTAACTGGTTCACCTAGGAAAAGATAAGATGAAGAAAAAGAGTTTTTTGATTGCATAGATCAATACTCCAAAAATGGCCTTTATGGAAAGAGATTTTCTATTTCAGCTGTGAATGTCACCCTTAGAAAAACTTATACATTAATTTGGGGGAATAATTTCTTCTGTACTGTCTCTAAATATTATGGCCAATAGGTAGTCATTAAACATTTTATTCACTATATATGTTTTGTAGCTGACTAGTATAGGACCCGAGTACAGAACAGAAAACTGTATTCATGGACTATTTGTTGTTGCTGTTCTATTTAGTTTCAAATTTTAATATTACAAGACTATAATTTTGTTGCATAGATTTAAAGATGGGATTATGGCCAGCATGTATTTTTATGAAGCTATTTTACACTAACATTATTTAGCAAGATTTCTTTTAAATCATCAGCCTTTCAGGCTTGTTTTTTTCAAAGGTAGGGAGCACTCCTTTTTTTACATAAATACTTTGAAAAACAAGATGGTATGCCTATAGTGGATTTACACAGCGTGTTTTGGTAGCAGGGTGTTGCCTGGCTTATCTGTGAAATGAGGCCGGGGCTGCCCTCTACTGGATACAGCCGATTCCTGCCCACTCCAAAGGACCTGCTGCAGTGCATGGCTGGAGCCAGCAGTCAGGTTAGAAGAAAGTCTGGCAGAGATTTGTGACTCCGTTTCACAGACAAGACTTCATTTTTGTGTAGTATTCTGAATGAGACTATAATTTCTGCAGTGGCATCAAGGGGCCACAGGAGCAGGTGAAATCCAGGTTTGCATGCTTTTCTGCATGAGCCTCAGCCCTGCACTCAGTGTTGCAGACTGCTTAAGGAGAGAGTGGATGTAGTACTTAGGCATGTGGATTAGTGGGCAATATTGATGGTGGGTGGAGAACTGGAGTAGATGATTTTAGAGGTCTTTTCCAACCTTAATGATTCTATGATTACAGCCAGACACAAAAATGTATACGCAAACTGCTACCTTGTCAACAGGTCTGTGTCTGTGTAGCCCTTGTGTTAATGCATGTGTTCTGCCAAAAGTGTTCAAGGAGGCACCTCAGTACACAGATGGAATTTTGTAGTTTGCCTAGGAGAAATTTGAGTAGTAAGGGCTTAAAATAATTGCTATATGTTTCATTGCTGGTTCTGTGTTACAGATCTCTTGGGCTAAGTTTTTAATATAGTTTTAACTCTGTCAGAAAATAATGCTTGAGAGAGCATTATGGTACTATTGTTAAACACTTTGATACTTCACTGAGCTCTGTTCATCCAATGGAGAATTATCTTTGTTTCAGTGCAGACCTCTGAGATGGTTATTCTGATGGTTAAGCAGCAGTGGTTGCACAATTTGCTCCCTTAGCAGATTTTTCAAATGCAACATGTTTTATCAGAATTACCACTTGGAATACAGTTGTTTTATATGATTTTTTTTTCCTAATTATACTTCTGGTGAAATGCTTCATACTTAATAAAATGACTGCTTTGAAGTAACAGTCTTTAAGATTTGTTTGTTGACAAATTCCTTTTCAAGGGGAAAAAAAAGGGCCTAATTCAACCTTCAGTAAAATTCTGGGCATCATTTGTCAGCACTGGAAAAATAAAAATGTTGTTATCCTGTGTTACACTTGAAAATATGTACTTATAGTACTGACATGTGGGTTGCAGTATTTGTTTCCAGCTTTGGAAGTCTCAGTTCTTTGAACAGCCAGCAGTAGATGTTTGAATTACCTTATGCTTTGTTTTTATGTGTTTCACTTTACTCATTGCTTTCAAGGCAGCTGTCTTGGGTTATTATGTTCATGGAGGGGACCTGGCTCTCAGTTCTCTCTGAAACTGCCTTTCTAAATCTTTTAGCCAAGTTTATGCAGAAGATACTTCTCAGTGCTAAACCTCATGAGATTTCTTGTTTCTTATCTATCTCTGTGTATAGAAAGAGCAATGTAATCAGAAACATTCTAATTTAGGTCTGATGCTTGCCTTTTTGTACTCATCCAAGTAGAGTTGTAGTTGTTTCATCTGTGTAATTCTGATTGTTTATTAAGATTATCATTTCATTATAGTATTTTCTAGCATTTTTCAATCTATATATTTCTAAATAAATTAGAGTTTAAGAACGGCATTAAAATTATCTTGTGCCAAATAATAATAATTGGTAAATATATTATTTATGTTTAAAGTTATTTTGTGAAGGGATGGTTAAAAAAATATGCTTTTTGTATATTTTGGAGATGAGTAATCCTCACATGGCATAAATACTGCATTATAAAGCTGAACACCTCTTATCTCACCCTTTGCTTTACTCAGTTTAGGGATGTTGAAGTCACTGTTTCAAAGAATTTTTGATGAAGAAAAATAAGTTGATATACTAGAAGTAATCAAAGTTGCATCTCAAAGTCCTGTGTTTTTTTTGTTTGTTTGTTTTGTTTTTAAGATCGCTTGTACAGAATTCTGTCTAATATTTGGTGAAGGCAAAGGCTGTTCCTTAAAAGGCGAATAAAATCCTACATCTGAGCTTAATAATGAAGAAACATTGTGGAATATATATATGTGGTTTTTCTTAAGTGAAGAATATTTAGAATTGTTAATCTCTATATTTAAATAATGTTGAAAAGTAGATACACTAGAAAAAAAAAAAAAAAACAACTTAATGACATTCTTAATCTATTATTGCCATATAATAGATATTTTTCATCATTATTTTCCCTATTCATCCTACCTTCCCTACATTCTGAAATATCAAGAAATCGGTTAGCCCTTACACATGGAAATTAACACTGATTTATCCAGTTTCTAATTGGGATATTTGGAAAAATTACTGTATCTTTTTCATTTGGTATTACACACATTTTCTCATTTCTTGATTCATTCAATTTTCATTTCTCAACTTGTGTAGTGGAAATTCTGAGTCAAGGAGTGATTGACCACCTGGTGGGAAGGCAGGGCCAACCTAGGGGAGCTCAGATGCATGCAGTGCCCCTGAGCCATTGGAAGGGGTGGAGCCAGGATCCCTCCTTCCCAGACCTCATTTAAGGGCTTGCAATGGA